TCTGACATTTTGCTATTTACTATTCCACATTTATTCATTGTATCATAAAATGCTTGAAATCTTTATATCGCATACACTGTCAAACAACTTTCAAAGCAAATAAGGAAGGAAAGAAATAAATTACTGGGTTATTATCTACGGTTCCTGCATTTAATCGTTTTTATCAGTAACCAGAGTGCATATATCAGAGAACTGTAATAAGGATAATTTGTTGTGCTAATTAAGTACATATTCTACTGCACATGAAATGGCTCAAATCAAAACAAAATTACCTCAAAACAAAACCTTGCACACCAATTTTGGGTTTTGAGCAAGTCGCTTAACGGCAACAAAGAAATGATGGTGTTGTACATTGGTGTTTCAAGATGATAATGGGGGAGAAATTGAACTGAATTGCGCCACTTTTTTGAAGGCAAGCCCTTTGCGTTCCAAAATGGCATCTGAGATGCTCGCACACTGGTAATGTGAAGTATCCTCAATAGTTTCTTCTTAAAGGAGATTATGACCTTAATTAGTGTGCAATTCTGATCTGACTTCAGTCTTGCCATTTTAGATTCCCCAGCTAGTGGAACTAACCTCTCTGTTGTCTATCCTGTAAAGTCCTTTTGCAGCCTTACATATTTCGAGAAGAATAAGTGATGACCTTATTAAATCTAAAGTATAGGCTCAATTTATTCAACTTCCCATCATAAGAAATCAATTTTATCTGAGATATTAATCAACTAAAACTTCGCCCCGCTAGTGGAACTAACCTCTCTGTTGTCTATCCTGTAAAGTCCTTTTGGAGCCTTACATATTTCGAGAAGAATAAGTGATGACCTTAATAAATCTAAAGTATAGGCTCAATTTATTCAACTTCCCATCATAAGAAATCAATTTTATCTGAGATATTAATCAACTAAAACTTCGCCACACCATCCCAAAAGAAAGTATATGCTTCCTTAAATGTGAAGATTAAAATTGTACATTGTGGCCCTACCAAAGCCAACTGTAGCAAGACTCCCTCATTCTAGTTATTCAATTGCCTTGCAATGAATAGCTAATATAATTTCTTGCTGAAATTGTGTGTGTAAGACCATAAGACATAGGTGTAGAATTAGGTCATTCAGCCCCTCAAATCTGCTCTCCCATTTGATCATGGCTGGTATGTTTCCCAACTCCATTCTTCAGCCTTCTCCCTGTAGCCTGTGATCCCCTTGCTAATCAAGAATCTATCTTTCTGACAATGTGGAAAATTGTCCAGGTATGTCCTGCAAGCAAAAAGCAGGATGAGTCCAATTCGTCATGCATAGGCCTACTAATGTCCTGTCCATCATCAGCCAAGTGAGTCTTGATAGACCTATTAAGTGAAATTCCTCACCAACACTCAGCTTGGATTCTGTCAGGGAGTCATACCAAGCACAAAGGAAACAGGTTGAGGTTGCTGGAGGCCAATCATCTCAGTTCCAAAACATTACAGCAGGAGTTCCCCAGAGTTGTGGCACAAGCTCAACCATCTTCAACTGCTTCATCAAGGACCTTCCCACCATTATAATAGTCAGGGGTAGCCATTTTCACTAATCATTACATAAGGATTAGCGAATTTTGATGAACCTTAGGTACTGAAAAAGGCCAGATTCATATAGCAAGAACTGAACAACATCCATCCTTGAACTGACAAGTGGCAAATAATATTTGTGCCATACAAATGCCACAAAATTACAATCTCAAATGAGAGAAAATCTAACCATCTCCCTGAGATTCAGTGGCATTCCAACTGAATTTTCCACTATCAAAATTCCAAAGGGGAGGCATTGACCAGTGATTGAACTGAACAGTCATATAAATGCTGTGACAAGAACAAGTTCAAGTCTAGAAATTCTAAGGCGAGTAGCTCACCTCCTCTTTCCTGAATGCCTATTTGCTGTCTACAAGGAACATGCCAAGTGTGTGATGGAGTGTGACTGTCCATCAGCCTAGGTAGCTGTAGCTCCAACAACACTGAAGAAGCTCAACACCATCCAGGACAAAACAGCCTGCCTGACTAGAACCCCATCCACCACCTTCAATATTCACTCACAGCACATACCATACAAAATGCACTGCAGCAACTCATCAAGGCTCTTTTGACAGCACCTTCCAAATCCTTATCTTCTATCATCTAGAAGGACAAGTTGAGCAGATGCGTGGGAACATCACCTGCAAGTTCCACTCCAAGCCACGCATCATGCTGTCTTAGAGCTAAATCACTGTTAATTCACTGTTGTAGGATTGAAAACTTGGAACATCCTCTCTAAATGCCCATAAATACATGGATGCCTCAAGAACTGTAATGGTTCATGATGACGATACACCATCACCTCCTCAGCTAAGAACTGGCAAAAAAAACGCTGCCTTAGCCATCAATGCCCACAACCTATGAACAAAAGAAAAACAACTTCTCATGGGACTGTTTCCAGCTCTTTATGGCTAGATCCTGGGAATTGATCTCAACATTATTAGCCCCTACTGTCTTCTACCATGTTTCTGGAAGACTTCCCTGCCTCTGCTGACACAGGTCGTCTTGTTGCTTTTCCACCTCCTTCACTACTCCATCACAAATCCTTAATACATGTGTTGCTCTAGGGTCAGTTTATATTGTTCATTGCCCTGCACTCTTCCAAATCATGTCAGCACTTCCAACAGCCACAAAGTGCTTTCCTTTTAAGACGTGTATACTAGCTCTTCCTGATCAGGCTAGTTTGAAGTAGCAACTTGATATGTCCTTCTGATGCTTGTAGCCAATGCACAACATGTTTAAGGCTGTCTGCATGCAGCAATCATTATAATAAGCAGGCAGCATGAAGATGCTGTACTACCCATGTTACATTTAACAGAGCATGAGTAATTCTACACTGTAGTCCTGCACATTTTCTTTAGGGAATAGTCAAGTTAGCCTACATGCTTCTCTCATGTTGAAGTACAAACTCTCAGAGTATCAATACTGAGAGTTATTAACAGGAAGATCAAACCCTCTTTTAGGGCAGAAAGCATGATTGGAGAAAGTGGTTTATGTTTATTACAACTGGCTGCTTTTGTGGACCACTTCATACCAGTGCACTAGCAGCATAAACATATGAAACAAGTCCTTTTTGTCATGGATAATGCATAGTACAAAGTCCCCAAAAAATACAGGGACAGATAAATGTTATATTCAAAGTGGCACCAAAGAGATGTTCAATAAAAAAGATCTGGCACTGTTACAGCTTAAAGCATCTGAGGCATCCATACAGGGTCAAACGGGAGGCTCCACAGAATTATGGGCCAGTTGGACAGGTACATTGAATAGTTATTTTACAGAGACCAGTCAATTAATCATCTGTATATCCTCTTGATCAAAGAAAACTGCATGATTCCCTGGAAAATCAAACTAAAATCATGAGGATTCGATCAGAATACAATTTTCAATAATATCAAGCTAGCATTTTCCTTCATTGATATGACTCCTTAGGTTTGCTTGGTTCCTTACATAGCCGATTTTCCCATTTTTTCCTAAGGAGCTTTCACTGAAATGGCACCTCCAATGAATTAATTTTCAATGCATCCCATACACAGCCTCTGCTTTTAGATGCTGAAGAGATCTGATGTTAACTCATTCTTGCTGATTTTACCTTTGGCCAAATTGTTTCAATTTTTACCAGTTCTGATGAAAGATTATTGACCTGAAACATTAATTAATTCTGTGTCTCCACAGCATTTCTGTGTTTATATCTGGTTTCCAGCAAACACAATATCTTGCCATTGTATTAGGGAGAAAGAAAGATTGGGCAGGAAAAGCCAGGCAGAAAGGACAATTAAGGGAAAAAAATTAAGATCATTATGTGACATTTTTTTAAAATCTAAAAACAACTGAAGGAATGAAACTGCATTTTTAATTGTTTGCTTTTTGGGCAAATGGGGTTGATTGGCAGTCATTACAATTATCATTTCATTATACAGTACTTACCTTGTTAATTAACTAAACTTTTTGCAGCGAGTATAATGGGCAATTAGCGTTTAAATGCAGCAACTTCATGAAACACAGGATGGTTTTGTGAAGCTAACAGCAAAGTAGCCCATATCCCTAGCAACTTGTGGGAACTTGAAATTGTAGCTTTTCCTTGTCAGATATTCTTGGCCGATTTGCACATTAATTACAATGTGCTTTTCTCACATATCATTATGTTTTTCAACAAAATCCGGGCTAATAACTCTTTCACAGGCCCAGTTTCGCACTTAACATGAGCATGACTGTAAGCCTATATTTTCACTTGTAATGTTAACTTGCTTTATTCTTGGAACAAATTGCATGGCGCTCTTGAAACAAAAGGAGACACAGAGTGAGCATAATTAATAAGAATTTTAGAAAAATTCTAAAACGGTACCTAATATTTCACAGAAGCAAACCTCAATGAAATGCTAACAATCAAAAGATGGCATTGTACTGAGAGTTCATGAATCACCATGCATGGTTAATGAGAGGGTTGTTGAAAAAGAACCTAGAATTAACATACTAAGACCTGTGGAGCATCCTTTGAAGAGAACTGGGTCGCATTTAATCTGCATAATGGTCTAAATTTGGTACACAATTCAGTATCATCATATAACAGGAGTCTGATAATGAACACCTTTAGTACGACTGTCAAAAATCATTGTGGGCAGGTTACTTGGATGTATTTGGGGAGTAGAGTGGAAGAAAGCATGAAATAAAAATGAGGAGACATCTAAATTCTGTAGTTTTATTGGGTTGCAAGCAAAAAGTGATTTCTGATTATTATATATTGACAATTGTTGTATATTGGCTTAAATACCTCAGGGCACTTAAAAGGATAAGTCAAATTTCCAATGAAATTCTTCCACAGATTTTAACAACCAAATGCATTATCCTCATTCCAAACAATCTGAGATTTTATCTTGAAGAACATTTTAACAGTGCAATAATGACATTTAGTGACTGCAAACCCACAGGTTAATTCATGATTCAGTATAAATCTTTTAATTACCTGCTCGAGGACGTGCTGGGCAAAGACCTCCTCATGGCCCCAGGGCTCATGCTATAATACGAAGATCCCTCCAAATCTGAGAGGGAGAAATTCGGGCCTGTTCCGGCAGCTATTGGTGCTGGAAGTGCAGAAAGAAATAAACATAATTTTTTTTTTGAAACAAAAGATAAAAGCTTCTACGACTTTTCAGAAAACTAAGACTTACAATGAATTTGCATTATAGTGCAGTCAGGTCATATTTGGCAATCTGTGCTTGACAGTCTTTCAATTAAGAAATGCATAATGTTCTGTAAATATGTTGCAGTAATAAGTAACTTGATTGTTTAAAGCAGAATTTGACGTGGGATCAGCCTATCACAATTCAGAAACCTTGCAGTGTGGAAGTTGTTGCAGTGTGTGCAATAATGCTTTGGGAAAAATAGCCATTAAGAAAATCAGTCATGGCTGCAGTATTAATGCCCAAACTTAAGGTCTTTCTATTGTTTCTTTAAGTGTGAACACCAAGGGCATTTGCTTAGATAGTTGTTATTTTTAATTAAAATTGCACTATTTTTAAATGCTGTCCTTAATCACCAAAACAAGGCTATATGTTCATTTAAATTCTGTAAAACGTCTCTATAAATCTTAAGTGGTTCTGATGTTTCCAAGTTCTGAACATTAATTGTGCAGAAATCTGAAATAAATTTTACAAAGCTAAAGCAAAAACATAATAACCTTCAGTTAAGAACCCAAGCATCAGGTGGTCTAATTGCAGTACAGTATTTTAATATCACTGGACTATCAATATCTGAAAACCAGCAGTGATCAAGAAATATTTTTAAAGAGCATGCCTTAAGTAACAAATTAGCACTAATACTCAGATCAGAGATAGTAATTTAGATTCCGAATGTAACTTTGTTGCAAAATGTCTTTTTTTGGTTTTAAATCAGAACGATGTGCATTTTACCAACATTAGACTGGAAAGTAAATCTGCACTCTATTCCATGCAGTGTGCATAGGGCAGCTTGAGCAGTACAAAATCTGTACCACGTCAAACACAATGACAAGATTTTCCACTTCCATGCTCCCCAAGTTCATCAGTTGTTGTCCAGTATAATGCCTGGGTTGAAATGTGTACTTAGTTTATAATAAGAACCTACACGCGTGTAGCACCTGATCAGATTCTCATAAATATCCCTACAAAGCTACCAAATGACCCCCAGCTACTATTACCCTAATTTTAGGAAATTGCCAGTGAGATTTAGATGAAGTTGCAGGAAGTAGGCTGAGTCACCACCTACTGGGCTATTTACCTTTTGTGCTGGAAGGAAACTGTTTTCATGTCTTTAATGGCAAGCGGGCTCTAAACATTGCAATGGAATTTTGCTGCACTGGTAAAAGGAACATCTTTTTAAAATAGTCATTAGAATATTAATTACTGTTCTGTAACACTTTTTAAAACAAACATTTTGGAACATGGTCTGATTTCCTATTCAATTCCAACACAGAATTAAGCTTCCTTTCATTTATCAACCTTACAGATATCAATCTTTCCCACTGTCCATAAACAGATGTACATATATCCAGCCCCCGCTTCCCCCATAAGGACCACTCACCTTTCCATGACACATGAAAGTAGGCAGCCATTTTACACCCAAATTTCTGATGTTGTTGTTCTCAAACTGACCAGTGAAAGGCAAAGGAGACAGGCATTGAAGGATTTAATGTTGAGCTTTTCCCTCCTTCACCTTGAAAAAGGACCTAACTTTCCCTGAGCACTCTTTTACATTATGTCCAAAGACACAAATTAGTCATGCAAGAAATTGTGGTTAAATGCTCAGGTTCTAACATCCAAAATATCTTGGGCAAATACATCAATTTAGTGCCCACAGCATCAACTGTGCAACTGGACTACGTTGATAACTTACAGCAGCAATCAGTAAAGAAACTTAGAGTGGAAGTGTTTTAAAGAAAATCTTGAGTAATGCAGGAGTCACTTTGTGCAGCAGTTTGTCAATTAACAGTCAAAGAGTGACAAACAAAAGAGAATTGTTCCCTGCAGCTGGTCATATTAAATCCTTGCAAAGTCAGAAAAATTTAAAAGAGCAACCTTTAGGAAACAGATGATTTCAAGGTTGACCTTTTGTGGCTTCACACATTTTCTCCTCAGGTGCTAAAAGCATAAAATATTTGACAAATAGCCACTTTTCCAGCATAAAATAAATCTATACTAATTAAAACTGACAGAATCACTTCGGTTTGCTAATGTAACCCTTTCACACCAGGAACTTTCATTATAAAAGTCTTAATCTCAAATTAAACTGGATGTCTTTTGATATATTTGACTTAAGTAATGCAAGGCTTGATCTGTTTTATCTCATAGTGCACTGTTGCTCTCAAAGCCAATTATTCTTTACACTGACTACACAACATTAGACACTGCAGCAAGCTGCCAATATTGCCAAGTGGAGACAAGGATCCTCACTACACTGAAATCAAGACTGACTGAACCATGTCCTACATTAAATGACTGAATGCCTGGTCCTTCAAAATGTGGAATTGAATCAGCACTCATATAATTTTCAAAATGGGGGTCAGTTAGCTTAGTTGGCTGGATCACTGGTCTGCAATGCAGAGTGACGCCAACAGCGTGGGTTCAATCCCTGTAATGGTTGAGGTCACCATTAAGGTCCTGCTTTCTTGACCTTCCCCTTGTCTGAGGCATGGTGGCTCTCAAGTACAATCACCTCCCTAATGAGAGAGCAGCCCTCTGGAACTATGGCGACTTTAATTTACAAATTCTAAAATCACAATGCCATTACTTATCTAGTGGTTTGTATTTTACGTAGTATTCTTTCCTATTCTTTTCCAAACTTTTCAATTAATTAAAAAACAAACTTAAAATGAGCTTTAAATGCCAATTTGTAAATAAGTTGAGCTAATATTGTCCTATTAATCATTCATGTTGACTGGATCAATTAAGTGACTATTCTATTAAACAACCTAAAGTTAGAGGAGGATAAATATGTTCTATTTCTTATCTGAACTGATTCCCTACCAGAGCTTAATTGGATGATCAAAGATAACACACTAACTGAATTAGAAGTTCTCAAAGCAGTTGCAATGGAGAGAACTGAAAATTTACTTCAGGTTTTACTTCCTGCAGTTATTTAGTGGCTTGTGTTTTAAAGTGCTAGTGCATAAGCATCAGATGAAGATAAAATTGAGTTAGTAAAAAATGGTTTCCTTACTTAAATAGTCTGCCCACATTCACTATTTGGGGTCAGAGATGAAGCATAGTCACCTGAGTAAGGCAATGCTGGAACAGCATAACAAGTGTCAAAGACTGAATTTTCGTCTGGGTGCAGCAATGGCCACACATATTCTGGAGGATATCTGATTTTCCTTCACATTTCTGACATTGTGCCATCTTGGGCTGCCCATTTTGCAGGTCAGGAATGCCAAATGCAAACTTTGCACCTACCCACAGTAAGGTCAGTTCTCCATTTTAAATGGGAAATGAAATTCTGATTTCCTCCCATGTGTAATTTTATTTGGTGGAATGGGTTTTTAGAAGCCTATTAAAAGCCCACCAGGTGTGATAGTTTTCAAAGTAAATTGAAAACTCGCTGACAAGTCTGAGACATTGTGAAAGGCAAGTGTAAAATCTTTTCCCACTTTCAAATTTCACTATTTGGTGTTCTATTGAAATGTTTTGAATGCTATGATTCATCATAGAAATCTTTCCCTTAAAGGTAAGATGCACTTATGTTAACCAATCTTCTGTATCTGTTCACACACGACAAAGTATGTTTCCAATGGAGAAAACATAGCTCAGTGAAAAATGTTACAAATGATCCCATCACTGAGTGCTGTTGTCTTGTCTACTTTGATTTAAATTGGTCTAGCTGGTCTTGACTCTTGGGAGAGAAAAAATCTAACCACCTGCCCCTTTACACTGATTGGCAAGTACTGTACTCTTGAAATTAAAATGAACACCAGCTGTTCTTTTCTTTCCACAGAGAAATCTACTGTTTGGACCATTGTGACCATTATTAATAATTCACTGAGTTTCTTGCTTTAATGGGTTTTAACAGAGTTGGTGTTCTATTCACCTAAGAATGGGTGAAATTTCAGTAGGTTGTAAAACATATCACCCTTTAATGTAGTTTCTGGTTTGTTGATGCAAGATTATAAGTATTACATGGTTTTATTCACATGATAGAATAAATTATTTTAATCAGAATCAATGAGTCGGAGGCTTCTATTAGGGGTGGTGATGAGGCCATTTCCCGTTTCCACAAAGGAACGTAAAACATTCTCAACTGATATTGCATGGAATCACAGGACTGTACATAGTGCAAACGATCATGGCTTCACAGATTTCAAGGGGACCACAGCAGTGGCATGGGGTAGCACAGGTGATCTAAGGTGTATGGAGGAGGGGGGAAAAGTGAGGGGTGAGGTCTTTGGGATTTTTCACATCGTTAGAAGCTGGAACACTGTTGGAGAACTAAAGCCCCTCTCTCCTCACCCACACTCCTCATATGCTCCAGTAGAGTGCATTGCAAACACAACCCTTGTGTGAAAAGGTAACAATGGTATGTGAATTACACAAGTGTGCAGATGCAAGCTGCAAAAGTGTGCAGGTTGGGTTTTCCCATGTCCAGGGGAAGAAACAGCTCCAACGAAGAAAATAGGACGAAGTTAACTGGGACAGAAAAAAATATACATTAACGCCCTGATACTAAAGTGTTAGCAGCTGCTATTGTGCACATATGGTGTACACAATCTCAATTAGGCAATTAGAAGGGAATGGCACAAATATATGATCTAAAATAAGAATACATTTTGCCCCTTGCCCTGCACAAGTGTTCTTTATTGTGATGCACAATCATTTATGTATTTTGTAATCCCTGCACTGCAGTGGAAGATCAATTTCTGACCTGAATAAAAATACTTGCAACATATACCTAAAATGACTGGTAGCTATTGACCAAACAATTATCTCGAGTTCCACTTATAAACACAATAAACCACCAACATCATGGAGATTTTTATAAAGCTCTAATAGGTTATCGATTGAGCAAGTTTTCAGTGAAACAGGGATGTGTTGCAGAATCAAAGCCTGAGGTAAGA